AAACGTCGTGGATTTCATTTATGGTGTTGGATTGTGTGTTACGACAGTTTTCTGATCCCAACTCTATCCTCCTGCAATAACAGTAACTGTTCAGTCTAAAGTACCACTATGTAGTGATGGACCAATTAATAAACCACTTTTTGTACTTTTTGTTTTACAGTCCGGAAAAAAATAATGCTAAAGAAACAAACTTAAATATTCCTGGGCCTAGCATAGCACACATATATATATATATATATATATATGCGAACAAGCCTGAATGGTCCCCAGGACTATATGCGAATGAAAACTCACACCCCAGAAGTGACTCGAACCCATACTCCCAGAAGCAACGCAACTGGTAACTACAGGGCGCCTTAATCCGCTTGACCATCACGGCCGTCAAAAGGAAGTGATAGCCGAGGCTATTTGAGCCACTTCCCCGACGGCAACTCGGATGGTAATCTTGGGCATAGCATTTCACCAAATCACCTCATTCTTTGGGGCACACGTGAGGAACACAAATGCGAACAAGCCTGAATGGTCCCCAGGACTATATGCGAATGAAAACTCACACCCCAGAAGTGACTCGAACCCATACTCCCAGAAGCAACGCAACTGGTAACTACAGGGCGCCTTAATCCGCTTGACCATCACGGCCGTCAAAAGGAAGTGATAGCCGAGGCTATTTGAGCCACTTCCCCGACGGCAACTCGGATGGTAATCTTGGGCATAGCATTTCACCAAATCACCTCATTCTTTGGGGCACACGTGAGGAACACAAATGCGAACAAGCCTGAATGGTCCCCAGGACTATATGCGAATGAAAACTCACACCCCAGAAGTGACTCGAACCCATACTCCCAGAAGCAACGCAACTGGTAACTACAGGGCGCCTTAATCCGCTTGACCATCACGGCCGTCAAAAGGAAGTGATAGCCGAGGCTATTTGAGCCACTTCCCCGACGGCAACTCGGATGGTAATCTTGGGCATAGCATTTCACCAAATCACCTCATTCTTTGGGGCACACGTGAGGAACACAAATGCGAACAAGCCTGAATGGTCCCCAGGACTATATGCGAATGAAAACTCACACCCCAGAAGTGACTCGAACCCATACTCCCAGAAGCAACGCAACTGGTAACTACAGGGCGCCTTAATCCGCTTGACCATCACGGCCGTCAAAAGGAAGTGATAGCCGAGGCTATTTGAGCCACTTCCCCGACGGCAACTCGGATGGTAATCTTGGGCATAGCATTTCACCAAATCACCTCATTCTTTGGGGCACACGTGAGGAACACAAATGCGAACAAGCCTGAATGGTCCCCAGGACTATATGCGAATGAAAACTCACACCCCAGAAGTGACTCGAACCCATACTCCCAGAAGCAACGCAACTGGTAACTACAGGGCGCCTTAATCCGCTTGACCATCACGGCCGTCAAAAGGAAGTGATAGCCGAGGCTATTTGAGCCACTTCCCCGACGGCAACTCGGATGGTAATCTTGGGCATAGCATTTCACCAAATCACCTCATTCTTTGGGGCACACGTGAGGAACACAAATGCGAACAAGCCTGAATGGTCCCCAGGACTATATGCGAATGAAAACTCACACCCCAGAAGTGACTCGAACCCATACTCCCAGAAGCAACGCAACTGGTAACTACAGGGCGCCTTAATCCGCTTGACCATCACGGCCGTCAAAAGGAAGTGATAGCCGAGGCTATTTGAGCCACTTCCCCGACGGCAACTCGGATGGTAATCTTGGGCATAGCATTTCACCAAATCACCTCATTCTTTGGGGCACACGTGAGGAACACAAATGCGAACAAGCCTGAATGGTCCCCAGGACTATATGCGAATGAAAACTCACACCCCAGAAGTGACTCGAACCCATACTCCCAGAAGCAACGCAACTGGTAACTACAGGGCGCCTTAATCCGCTTGACCATCACGGCCGTCAAAAGGAAGTGATAGCCGAGGCTATTTGAGCCACTTCCACGCCACTTCAAGAATGAGGTGATTTGGTGAAATGCTATGCCCAAGATTACCATCCGAGTTGCCGTCGGGGAAGTGGCTCAAATAGCCTCGGCTATCACTTCCTTTTGACGGCCGTGATGGTCAAGCGGATTAAGGCGCCCTGTAGTTACCAGTTGCGTTGCTTCTGGGAGTATGGGTTCGAGTCACTTCTGGGGTGTGAGTTTTCATTCGCATATAGTCCTGGGGACCATTCAGGCTTGTTCGCATTTGTGTTCCTCACGTGTGCCCCAAAGAATGAGGTGATTTGGTGAAATGCTATGCCCAAGATTACCATCCGAGTTGCCGTCGGGGAAGTGGCTCAAATAGCCTCGGCTATCACTTCCTTTTGACGGCCGTGATGGTCAAGCGGATTAAGGCGCCCTGTAGTTACCAGTTGCGTTGCTTCTGGGAGTATGGGTTCGAGTCACTTCTGGGGTGTGAGTTTTCATTCGCATATAGTCCTGGGGACCATTCAGGCTTGTTCGCATTTGTGTTCCTCACGTGTGCCCCAAAGAATGAGGTGATTTGGTGAAATGCTATGCCCAAGATTACCATCCGAGTTGCCGTCGGGGAAGTGGCTCAAATAGCCTCGGCTATCACTTCCTTTTGACGGCCGTGATGGTCAAGCGGATTAAGGCGCCCTGTAGTTACCAGTTGCGTTGCTTCTGGGAGTATGGGTTCGAGTCACTTCTGGGGTGTGAGTTTTCATTCGCATATAGTCCTGGGGACCATTCAGGCTTGTTCGCATTTGTGTTCCTCACGTGTGCCCCAAAGAATGAGGTGATTTGGTGAAATGCTATGCCCAAGATTACCATCCGAGTTGCCGTCGGGGAAGTGGCTCAAATAGCCTCGGCTATCACTTCCTTTTGACGGCCGTGATGGTCAAGCGGATTAAGGCGCCCTGTAGTTACCAGTTGCGTTGCTTCTGGGAGTATGGGTTCGAGTCACTTCTGGGGTGTGAGTTTTCATTCGCATATAGTCCTGGGGACCATTCAGGCTTGTTCGCATTTGTGTTCCTCACGTGTGCCCCAAAGAATGAGGTGATTTGGTGAAATGCTATGCCCAAGATTACCATCCGAGTTGCCGTCGGGGAAGTGGCTCAAATAGCCTCGGCTATCACTTCCTTTTGACGGCCGTGATGGTCAAGCGGATTAAGGCGCCCTGTAGTTACCAGTTGCGTTGCTTCTGGGAGTATGGGTTCGAGTCACTTCTGGGGTGTGAGTTTTCATTCGCATATAGTCCTGGGGACCATTCAGGCTTGTTCGCATTTGTGTTCCTCACGTGTGCCCCAAAGAATGAGGTGATTTGGTGAAATGCTATGCCCAAGATTACCATCCGAGTTGCCGTCGGGGAAGTGGCTCAAATAGCCTCGGCTATCACTTCCTTTTGACGGCCGTGATGGTCAAGCGGATTAAGGCGCCCTGTAGTTACCAGTTGCGTTGCTTCTGGGAGTATGGGTTCGAGTCACTTCTGGGGTGTGAGTTTTCATTCGCATATAGTCCTGGGGACCATTCAGGCTTGTTCGCATTTGTGTTCCTCACGTGTGCCCCAAAGAATGAGGTGATTTGGTGAAATGCTATGCCCAAGATTACCATCCGAGTTGCCGTCGGGGAAGTGGCTCAAATAGCCTCGGCTATCACTTCCTTTTGACGGCCGTGATGGTCAAGCGGATTAAGGCGCCCTGTAGTTACCAGTTGCGTTGCTTCTGGGAGTATGGGTTCGAGTCACTTCTGGGGTGTGAGTTTTCATTCATATATATATATATATATATATATATATATATATATATATATATATATATATATATATATATATATATATATATATATATACTATAATAGGCCTAAAAAGCGTGTATTAGGCCCTAGAATATCTAGGAGAGGTTAGGTTATGACTTAAATTTACGAAACGGCTGAAAAAAAAGTGTCCAGTTTGTCTAAATTCAACAATACAAAAATCACCTTTCTGGAGGTCCATCACTACATACAAGTGCTTTCCACCACATAGTTCGAGCAAATAGTACTTTCATTTTAGGAGGCTGAGTTGTCTGATACAGTGGTACTGTGCTTGCCTTCAATTAGAACATATCCTAAAATCCTCATCTATAGCTATAAGCATTTTATGGACATAAATGTTGTTTTTTTGTATGAAGAACAATGTTCTCTATAGTGTTGTGTCTTTTCTTCAATGTTACAGAGAGAGAGAGAGAGAGAGAGAGAGAGAGAGAGAGAGAGAGAGAGAGAGAGAGAGAGAGAGAGAGAGAGAGAGAGAGAGAGAGAGAGAGAGAGAGAGAGAGAGAGAGAGAGAGAGAGAGAGAGAGAGAGAGAGAGAGAGAGAGAGAGAGAGAGAGAGAGAGAGAGAGAGAGAGAGAGAGAGAGAGAGAGAGAGAGAGAGGTTATAATTTCATACATATGACACAGGTCTTAACTAACTTTAGTCCCTCACATGAAGTATTAGAGAGAATCGGCGTTAAAATGACAACGATTGCATGATAAATTTGATTATTCAAAACAAACCTAATTGCATGCATATAAGAGGGGAGGGGGGTCAGGATTACAAGAGAGCAACAGATCATGCTTCGTGATGTTGCCAGGATATGGCAGAGGTCAATATGAAGTAACATTCAGAGAAGACATGATAGTTCTTAATTTCTTCGCATCTGTGTACGAAGGAGTGAAGAAAGAGAGGAGGGGGAGGGAGATGCAACAGACTGCATTTCCGTTGTAGGATGGAAGAAATGGGTGCTGCTGAGTACTTTCCACGGCAGCCCAGGGTTCTATGGTACTTTTCCTGGGATGTGGTACTTCCCCTGACTGCATTTCTGCTCAGTATCCCTGTGTGTACTGACCCAGTCTACTTTACTTATCAGGGGTCGGAAATTATTTATTTTGATGGGTGGATGAAACCGCAATGAGCAGGACTGTCCCTGCCCAGGAAACATGACTACAGTCTCCGGTCGGTCTCCTGGTGTTGAGTAAAGTGAATCATCCCTTGACTCACCTACGAAATGTGAAGGAAGCCGGTTACCCACACTGTCTCGTCACACAATCACGAAGCATCAACTTTTATTTGTTGATACAGAATATCGGAAGGGACATCCTCTACTGCCTCCTCCTCCCCTGAAGAAATTTTCTCAGCTGTCTCTTACCGTATTGCGTTCTTTAGTTCCTCGTGACCTGTAAGACGATTATTGGTTACACTAGAGCATCTGTAATAAATTTACACAGGAACATAAGCGTGAAGGTAACTTTAAAATCCTATTGGCCCATATGAGGCGGCTCCTATTTATACCAAGCCTGGTGCTGTTGCAGCCTAGCATTGAACTTTCCCTGAAGGAATGACACGTCTGGCTTTTGTAATAGCACCACCGCACAACTCACCAGATAAAAACAAGCTGTAGCTACTCTAGCTACAACTCTCGTGAGTAAACCCACCTAATGAATAAACTAACGACACTAATAAAATTGTGTCGCCCCATCCAAGAAACGAAATGACTTAATATAACAAATTTTCGTCGATAAGCAATAGTGACTTGAAAATGGTTGAGGTTACCGAGATTCTGGCCAGAACCCCACCAGTTTAACCTGACTGCACAACGCACACATCTGCCACAACAACAACATCTGTCATTGTATAACGCCAGTCCTCCCGTTGAACAAGACTCCTGCATTGTCAGACGGTTGCGTTTGGCCGTGACCAGACGACCAATTGTTATAATGATAAGATCCACTAAATACTTGGTCTCACGCAAGTCGCATGCCCGCTAATTCGCACAGAATGTAATCCAACCCAACAACCTCATACTGTACAATAGAATAAAAATGATAAAACCAAATATAAACTAACTTCCTACAGGGGGGTTAAACTATAATAAATGTTAACTAAGTACTTAGACAATGTTTTAAATCCATCCATGCGGTCCTCAACTATGGGGCTTCAACCATGCGGTCCGCAATCATACACTGAAGCTAAGATTAGGTGAAAGCGCTAAGCCAGCATGATTATACAACACTTGGAAAAAACATATAGACAAGAAAATGAGGACAATGAGATGGGATGTGACTCACAACTTCACATTTTCGAAGCGTACCTCACAACATACGTTAAGCGTAGTAGACATATATATATATATATATATATATATATATATATATATATATATATATATATATATATATATATAACATATGCGGAACTAAACAATTTGGTCCGATAAACATCTGAAACACTTTTATTAAAGCAAATACAGGAAAATTTCCTGAAAATACAGATTCAGGGAAAGAAATCTGGCATTAAACCTAACCTCAAAGCCTTTCAACAGAGGCACACATTAACAAGGTAACATCAGCGGCGTGTGTGTGTACACCTTCCCAACATTTGTGTAGACTTTATAAACTTGAACAAAGAAGCCTTCAGCACGTTGTTCACTAAGACTAGTACTAGGATAGGGGTCTCCAGTGCGAAATGCTATCTTAAACTAAATATAGTTGAGAACTATCTGTGGTACCGAGAACCCAGCATCACAGACAGACAGCTCAGCATCCCAGGATGAAGATGAGAACACATCATCCCAGGATAACTCAGCATCACAAGATAAAGATGAGAACACATCATCCTAGGATAACTCAGCATCACAAGATAAAGAAACATGCATCACAGGATAATCCAACAACACGGGATGAAGATAAGATCCCAGCATCATAATAAGTTGGTGACGTTTGCTTCTACGTCGGTGTTGACGTAGGCTTCTACGTCACTGTTGACGTTGGCTTCAACGTCAGTGTGTTGACATTGGCTTCATCGTCAGTACTGACGTTGGCTTCTACGTCAGTAATTATAAAACCCCAACTGAAGACTGAAGCAAAGCACCTTAAATCCACTCTACCCCCGCTGTGCCCCCATAGACACGTTGGTTAACGAGTCTATGGGGGTGTTAAAGGGTGTTACCATCACTCCCTTTGTTGCCTAACAAGAGCAGTGTCCAAGTCTACGACGCCTCGGATATTTTCCGGGGCGTCTCCTTGACTTGCCCTGTTACAACAACCCCCAGGAAATCACTGGGGGGAATGAAGCTTCGTAACGTAACAAAGATAACGAAGCAAGACTCGTCCAAGTCATTGAGAGACTCAGCTAACGTCTGGATATATAAAAAGATAAAATATATATATATATATATATATATATATATATATATATATATATATATATATATATATATATATATATATATATATATGTGCTATCAGATGTCAAGGAGGTTTCAAGTGGAAGTTAAGTAGGGGAGGACACTTCATATGTGTTTGTAGCGGAAATCATGAAGCTGTCTCGTGGTCAAGAATCTGAGGTTGAAGATTCAAAAGAGTGCAGCCTTGGTCAAGAGATCAACTTTTGGTGTAATTAAACCTTGGCTCTAGAGTGTAATTTAGCGCAAACAAGACAGTCTTTGTGGGATAAATTTCACCTGCTTGCTCGTGTTTCAGATCAGAGCGAGGCTTTCATATTAAAAAAAATATATATATATATGCGTACGCGAGGCTGCTGGAATCTTGTCTGACCTGTCTGTGTCCTCATCCAAGAAAAATACTTGCCAAAAACTCCATTTCAGAATGAAATATAAACGGAGTTTTATTCTGTTTTGGGGAAGTGTTATGCACATTAGTACGTCCATTTATTCACTCACAAGATGAGCGACTATGCCCAATAAACTCGCCCCTCGGAGTAAGATTAATAAAAGAAAAAAAAAAGAGGCAAAAAGTCTTGGACAAAGCCCTTTGAAGGGATGCTATAGCCTACACTCTACAGGATTGAATCCTACATGACAATAAACAACACCACTCTAGTTCCTGAGTATCTACAGTTATGCAACTAACCTAACTTGGTCTCAGGATACTCTTCCTTCCGGTTGAAGTCGATTCATTCAGCTTTCCGATCCCATTCATAAGCCCCCAGCCATGCTTTCCCTAGAGAGTGTGGGCCACAGGTTACCAGATATCCTCTTACATTCACTATAATAAAGCAACGAGTACCCTTCCAGAGGAAACTTCCACCCAGTTTCACGCCACGTATAAAGCAATGAAGGAAACGTGTACATACACCAAGACTTATGAAAGAAACAAATCATGCAACGCTGAAAAATTAATAAATAATGATGAAAGGGGAAGCGGGAGTACACCCTGTGCTCGGAGTTGATGTTCTGAGAAGGGGTGAGGAAGGAGCCTCACACTCAAGGAGACTGACTCACCACTCTCCTGACTCATCAGCCACATTTCCATTTCAATCCGTTTCCAACAACAAATAATTTAATGAGTCTTCCAGTCCCATCCTTAGCTAATCATTATTATAAGGTACTCAATTACTCAAAATATTTATACACGCGCTGCAGATGTTTAAGTGGAATCCTCCTTACATTCGCGTGCAGTCTGTTCGAGAGTATAGGCATTAATGCAGTCTTCAAGAACCTTAGTATTTACATGTGTATTAAAGCGTTCTAATACCACATTCTCCTGAACCCTTCACTCTGGCCATCATTCTTATGTAAACACATGTTTAAATCACGTGGTATTCTTTATTGGGCAAAACTTATGGATATGGAAACCTTATGTACAAAAATTCTCGCACTAAGGGACCGTGAACTAAGTCCTTCTCACCTAACCAGCTTAGAAGAATGATAAAATAATACTTTAGTAATGTTTAAGTGTTTCATGAGGTCTAGAAAGCAAAAAAATATATAAATATATATACATTTACATATATATAGAAAGTGGAAGAACAGGGGATAAAAACCATAGCTTACCGGTATTAAATTATAATGCATATATTGACATAAATACACGCTTACTTAAGCGTGTTCAGCATATATATATCAAGTTATTGTACATAAAGAATTCATATGGAACAGAAATTGTTTGTGGGAGCGTGTGGCATCTTGGGGGACCGGATCCTGGCAGCCGGCCGGGGCAACGTATATATAGCAGCGGCCAGCATGGCGGCGGGTCAGGTGAGCGTTGGGTGTCAGGGCGACCGGAGCTCCTTCCTCCTCCTCGTCCTCCTTGACTCTCGACGGACACTCGACGCCCTCAACTTATATATCATTTCCCGTTTATTTTGGATTAATTAAGTGACACTATCGCAGCGGGACTGTGTGGAAGTTGTTGGTTTATTTTGGTAGCAACTGGAGAAGAATAATGGCGACTTTGACGCTACTGTTTGGAACAGTGGTGCTAGCGGCCGTGGTATCGGGTGTTCCCGTCAAATACCAAATCAGTGGGACCACATCAGCGCTGGTAAGTGTTCCTGCACAATACTGTACTAGTAAACACCAGGGGAGGTGCCTCCCTAGTAGTGAGGAAAGTCTTCACTCACCAACAAACACGACTATATACGGGGGGAAGTTTAAACAAAGGCGCACGAGGAGCGATAACTAACTCTCTCTTTTTAAAGGTCTCCGACGCTAAACATTTTAAATTCCAGCACAACCGTGAGAAAGTTGCCATAAGAGGTTGCCAATTCACAGGTGATAAGACTTAAAATACTTTGAAAATGAGCTACGTGACTTTAAATTGTGCATTGACACGCTAGACTCGCTACTGTGATGAAATACTACGTACACTTATGCATGGTAGTGGCGTTATTAACCTTAGAGGTGGCTCCTCGCATGCTTGTACACACACTTTAGTAATAAACTATATGTTTACGACTAGAGTATATACTAGCGGGGTGGTCAGTAAGCAATTACGGTGACCTTTGTGACCCCTTCGCGGTTGATAGTCGTTAATCCCTTAAGTCCTTAATGAGTCCTTAAGGAGGCCTGGTCGAGGATTTGGCAGGAGGGGGGGGGGTACGTTTCTTACTAGTACTTGTGCTAGTAAAAAGAATTATGACTGGACACAAACTATTCATACACTAGCTAACAAAATATGTATATATATATATATATATATATATATATATATATATATATATATATATATATATATATATATATATATATATATATATATATATACTTCTATTTCCCAAGACTATTAATTGTAGGTCCGGTATATTATTATTACGAAATGTTATGAAATGATGTATATATTGTTTCTGGTACAAAATCAAACTTAAATATATTTTGTAGCTATATAATAAACATGTTTAAGTTGACCAGACCACACACTAGAAAGTGAAGGGACGACGACGTTTCGGTCCGTCCTGGACCATTCTCAAGTCGATTGCATATACATGTTTAAGATTATAACCTTCAGTAGCCATGTATTAAGGTATGAAGAAACTGTGAACACCTTGAGGTGACCGCAAGATATGTATCTTCTGAACCCCCGCCTTTGTTACTAGTCATCTGACAGCCTCAGTTCCTAGAATGATTCTCTGCAGTCATTTAGTTATTTTAATCGTTGCTACTTTTAAAAACTACGTATGGAGCAGTGCGTGTGCGTGCGCACTCAACGGTTTTAGCAAAGATCAGACTCCAGCTCTTGAGCCGTACGTTCTTAGCCACTATTAACCAATGTGACTCCCAAACTTCGCGCGATGTGTCGTATATTTACAGTGAAAATCATGTACGGATTTTCTGAACGATGGAATCACAAAAACAAATCGATAGAAGATAGACATACTCGTATTCTATACGGGTCGGGTAACAGGTTGAATACTCTTGACAAAAGCTCCTACATTGACTCCTCAAGCTATTCTTCAACCATACCCCATCCATTGTTGTTTTAGATTTAACTACTCAGAAATGAATGTAGCACGGGCTATAGTGAGCCCGTAAACTCTCACCCATTGGGTATCAGCTAGATAAAATGTTCACGACATCTCCAATTTACAATGTCAAGAGTTGATGTGATAAAATTTTGAGCATCAGGGAAGTTTAACAAACTTTAAAACAGGTAGAGCAAGGGTGGTAGGCGGGGCATTAAAGAGCTACTAAACCTCACGTCCCCCTGAAATCAGTGTCAGGTAAGCATTTGCTATCATCACTTTTACTAACCCTTCGCTAAAGACTTCTTTATATAGTTTTGCTATATAAAATCAAGCTTCTATTTGTCTTCTCTCGTCTTGGTCTCATCCTACCATTTGTTTACCTTTATCCTATTACTACCATGTTTACATTTATCCTATTCTTACCATTTGTTTACCTTTATCCTATTCCTACCATTTGTTTACCTTTATCCTATTCTTACCATTTGTTTACCTTTATCCTATTCCTACCATTTGTTTACCTTTATCCTATTCCTACCATTTGTTTACCTTTATCCTATTCTTACCATTTGCTTACCTTTATCCTATTCCTACCATTTGCTTACCTTTATCCTATTCCTACCATTTGCTTACCTTTATCCTATTCCTACCATTTGTTTACCCTTATCCTATTCATAGCACTTGTTTATCTTTATCCTATTTCTACCACTTGTCTCCTTATTCTGGTCTTACCATGTCTTCCCTCGTCCTGGTCTTATCCTTTTCAAATGTCTTTTTCCATAGTGATACCTGAAGGAATTTGTTGTAACTTTGTCCCTTCTCTTCTTTTGCTACTCGTTGAGATAATTATTATAATTCATTATTATATTTCATCATGTCAACTGTCCTCGTGACTTTAGTTACCTTAATTCGGGAACCCCACATCGTTGCAAATCTCTGAACTTCACAAAATGCATGTTGTTACAGCTGTGATTTTACAGCTTACAGATGTTACAGCTACAGATTGTATCTATGTTTGCGGCAGTCTATTGCAAGGACTCTTAAACTCTGTTATGATTCATCTTACACAATTTTAAACCTTTGAATGTAGTCAGACTCAATTACCACATTCCCCAGCGCAATCTGCTTGATAACTATCCTCATACTGAAAAATACTTCCTTTCATCTTTCTATGCTTAAGTGTAGGATACGCATCTCGGCAAAATTAATTCACAATTGGGCAAATATACTTATGAGCTTAAAAATATCCATACATCTGGCAGACGCTCACACACACGTATGATCTCGTACTGATAACTAGAAGAAAGAACAACTAGAATTTGTTCATTTAGAAGAAAGAAGACTTAGAGGTGTGTTACCACCCTTGAGACTAAATAAGGTTCTTCCCCTCGCAGTGTAAAGAAAATGATAACTCGGCCTTGCCAACTTTGTCTAGGGTTATAAATACATCACTGCATAAAATGGAGAACAATATATTTATGCTAAGGGGGACAAACATAACAATATTTAAATGTATAAATAAATACCCAGAAATATTCTTCAGCATGCAAATCATAGAATAACCTCCTTATTGAGACATGAGCACTATCACCACAACATGGATTAATTAGAGAGATATATACAATATCATCTAACCAGATAATTAACATTTATATGGGCTAAAATAACAGTGACCAATGACTTAACTTAAAACACAACTCCTCTCGACTTCAGCCGCCACGCCTTGGTCCGCAGGCCAAACGTCTACCAAAAAGTCAACTAAACGTCCACATAAACATTGTGGAAATTCTAACAACAAAATGCAGCACTAATATTCAAAACATTATCAAACTAAAGAATAGTAAACACTGGTACAACATTCCATACAATAATACGGCAACCAAATATGGGAATAAATCAATGTAAAACTATAAACACTCGATTGACAACAATGTTCCCACACTGACCATATCCAAATATGGTCAACCGCCCACACGGAGAAACTACATGAGAAATTACACCCAAAAGCCTCATACAATATAATGTAACTCAGGCACACTACAGCATTCTATATATATATATATATATATATATATATATATATATATATATATATATATATATATATATATATATATATATATATATATATATATAACATACAAAATCTTATATCATACAACTGGATGCTATATTAAAGAACAAGACAATAAAGAAATATGAGAATCAAGAGTAATGGCAGAATCCAAGTGAGATTCGTAACAAGGTGATAAACAAAGCCACCGCTACCTTCCCTAACCAACTTCAAAAACATACTTTCGCCTTGAGCGAATTTACGACTAAAATTTCTTGTTGTGTATGTACTAACCTCGGTGTATACGGTTTTGGATTGATGTTGTTCTTAAGACATATCAACGTCTGGAGGGGTTATTGAAGACATCACAATAGCTGACTGACCATCGAGCAAGTTTACTTTAGTTCTGTACACAGTACAAGACTGAATGAAAATCTTAGTGTATATACACCGATTGATTGATGAAGATTAAGCCACCCAAGAAGTGGCACGGGCATGAATAGCCCGTAAGTGGTAGATTTTTGTTTGAGTGAATATGATCTTTGGTCGTGAAAGGATATACAGTACTGCGTGTTATGCTCGCATTTAAATCGTCAGTCCTTACTATGTGGCTGCTATCGCGGGGAAGGATACTGATTGACAGTATTTATGAGGGTGTCCAGCTGCTGGACACCTTTTTTGACCAGAAGAGTGGCAGTGTTGATAGCTTCAGGGACTCTTAATGATCTTCTAAGGCCCTTGATTACTTCACATTCCAGGATATAATGAAGTAGTGGCTTTTCTGTGATTGTTTGTAGAAGATGCATTCCCACTCTCTGGGTTCACTAATTTGCCAGTTGCATCTGTAACCTGGACGAAGTCTATATAACCGAACTGCTATTTTCCTGTGGATTCCTTTCGGGATATTTAACCTGTCTACCTTGGTGCCCTGAAGATGCCATGTTGCAGAGGGCGAACCTTCTGCTACTCTCTGGTGTAGATGGGCTTTGTTGAGGTGTGTGAGAGTTTTTTGGTGATGGTGTTTTTGATGTACTCTAGGCGGGGTTGGATTCTTTTGTGGATGACGAGTTGACAATTTAACAGTTTCATCGCCATTCTTATTTAATGGGGATTCCAACATGGGATGGGATCCAGTTTAGGGTGATGTTGAGTCCTTTGCCTTTTGCTACTGCTCCTAGATACAAAATTGTGGTAATTATTTCCACGTTATCTTTGCACTTTTTTTTCCTAATATTTGAAGTACATATACACCGAGAAGCTGTGTATACACCTCTCAGAGTATACAAATCTCATCAGGTTATTTTCTTTTGCCATGTTTTTGAGGACATGCAGGCTAATTTAGTGTACCCAGTTGTTATATTAAGTACGTTATACTGAGTATTAAATAACGCACCTTGCAAAGTGATTCAATACAGGCCCTATGCAAGAAATAATTTAATCAAATTTTTGTGTGTTCCTTTAGTCCTATAACACCAGGTAAACTTACAGCTGTGTTCATTTTGCTTCATCGGGAGAGATTATTACATATAC